CAAAGAAAAAATAAAGTTGATTCTGGAGGGTAAGAGACGAAACGTCATATTGCAACTGTAATTATGTCATCTTCTGGAGGCTGGAGGTTAATGTGCAATTTATTTTGAAATCGCTCTACGAATAAAGTCTGGGAAAAATTGAAACGATTTGTTTTCTCTTCGGAAATATTTTTCAAAACTCTTGGCACTTTGATGATGATCTAAATATGCATCCGTATCTCTCACAGTTTCCGACATCCCAATGGTGAGATTCGAATTTAAACACCCGACTTAGCTCGTAACGAACCCTGTCGAAACCTCACATTAACAAGCGTTCCTCAACCCCTTTACAATACTTAGATGTCGCCTGCGTTCCCGCTCAGTTAAATTTCCCGTTCTCGTTATCATGGCACCCTTGTTCCCTACTAATCTTCCGGCTTTTGCGAGCCGACGCGTCGCGTTCAAAAACGCTCGTTCAACAGGTGTCGAGGTTCGGCAGAGTTGGCCGTGAAATAAAATATAAACCAGCCCCCGCTTAACAACAAATGAACATCAGCGGCGGTTGTTTCGTGAGTTGGACACGCGGGGCACCGGTACGCGTCACACGAAAAATATCGATGGGGTTCGTGTATTGTATTAAAACACGGAAGGGCGTATACGTGTGCTGATCTTATCGTTGTAGAGGTGGGGCGTCCAACAGCTGATGAAACTTGTAAGAAGAAAGAATTTTATCGAAAAAGATTTATGAAATCGTTAGAAAATAGCAAAGCAGTACTTTCGGAGATAACGTAAGAAATACAAAGAGTTTTCTCACATATATAGGGTCTTCCAATATGCCGTGGACATAGAAGTACCACGTATTTTTAGACTCAAAATAAGTCGATTGGATATGATTTACATCTATGAAAAAGTGCTTCGTTTCTTTTCTTTTGAAAATATATCTTTTAAGATATTTTAAGAATCATTAGTCCGATTTGAAATAATTTTAGAACACGTGTGGTTTGCTAGACGTCCTAATATTTGGCTTTTACAAAAAAAAACGAAAGGGTACGAAAAGGGTGAAAGCTACCCCCATCTCCGCAAAAATTATACCAATATATCATATATATTGTAAGCTTCCAAGCCTGTATCACTTAAATGTGTATGAATTACTTCAAATCAACTCAAAAAGTGGAATCTTCCGTCCCGTATCTAACCAAGTGGTGACGAGTCACAAGGGAGAGGGGAATGTCACTTGTTACGCTTTGCTGGTGACCTCATCCATCATCGGCAGACGCCACTTTGCTTATTTAGCGGTTGCTGCTTTTTATTATGCATACATATCACACTTTATATCTTGTCGAACATCAATTCATTCCCTATAAAAGGGAAAAGTACATTTGCTAAATTATGTTGAACCACATAATATGTTAATACCAAAGAGGTTATTTAGAATACATGTTCTTCCCAGAAAAGAAAGAAGTACTTAGTACTTGCAGAATGTAGATCAGTTTTTTTCAAACGACAGCTGTACTTTTACCTTAGGACTTGTATCTAAAATGTAGATTTATGTAAAAATTAGTATTAATGGACAAGCTGTACCGAAAGTTCGGGGTTCTTCTTTTCAGAAACAGCTACATTCGAAATTTGCATTAAAACTGCACCGAAAATATAGTGCTATGCCCTGTTTTTATTTGTAATAAAGCTCGAAGTTGACGTTGTTCAATTGAAAAACACGAGTTTGCTCGATTCTTCCTAAATTTGCATCATTTGGGGCTGTCTAGCTGTTCAACCAGATGGCTTCTGCATGATATAAACAAACATATGCGGCCTTGATGAAAAAAAACATCGAAGACGACGGCGACGTCCTAAGTACATTCGGGGAGTATCAATAGGATCTTCAGGACGATTTTTAGTCTTGGTTTTGCAATGCAATAACAAGACCAAGACTTATGTTGCAATACCAAGACCAGGCAAGTTTTGCGAGGCCCCATACTTGACTCTTTTTTTCCTGAAAGCTGCGCGTGTTAAATTCGTGCGGTCGCCCAGTATTTAGGCCTGTGTTGTAATCCAAGGCGGGCAATTCAGCGGCATCTGAAAGAAACACGATAATCCATTTCCTGGTGAAAGCTTTCCGAAATTATTCTTGTTCGTTAGAAGGGGATGAAAAAGGGAGAAGGGGGCCATACAACTATTGTAAGACGCCGGCGAACTGCGGGGGAGAATGCGTTTTCGCGTCTATTGGGGTTGGGGTTCGGGGTTAGAGCGGGGAGGAGGGTGGGATGAAAGGCAGAGAAACGCTCTTACATAAAGCGTGGAAGAATTGATCGAGTTTTTCGAAGTATGGAAGTGATATTGTAGCGAATCTGATACCCCTTAATGTCTTGATATATCCTAGATATCTAGGCTCAATTATAAGCGAGTATTAATTAGGTTTTTATTCCGGAGCGTAGCGCCTAAAAAATTTACGAACTCGATAATGTATCTAGTTTTTTGGAAAGTTACATGCAGATGTGTAAAACTACTTGATCGACAGAAGTCAAAAAACCAAAATTGGATCTGACATTATGAAGCTAAAGAATTTTTTCTGTTGGAGTACCACAAGGTAGTAAATTAGGTCCACTACTTTTTATTTTATACATTAATGACAGTTGTGATATTTTAGATTATAGTACAATTCAGATATTTGCAGATGATACATATCAGATGAAAATATAGGCACTGCTTTAAAATTTTGCTGTCAGATGAATCTAAGAACACCTCAAAATCCATCGAACCCCCTGAGCTGTAACACGTAAAGTTGGTATAAATTTTTTGGCCTAACAAAGAGTTTTTGCATGTATTTTGGTTAATAGTAATATTACAATGTCGCAGGGTGTCCCACAATTAACTGAGCATCCGCATAGGTGACAGATTTTTCTATTATCTTTTTCATAATAAATAGAGGGTGTCAATTTATAGTCAAACAACCTATACCACATCCAAGAAACATATCTCAACTCTAAGATTTGTCGCGGTTATATTTCCTCGGCCAGCGGCGTGGGAAGTAAAGTAGATGTTCTTTTCTCATCGGTATTCTCAAGGCTCTTTCGATATCTGTTATCGAGCAGTACGTACTCATTGACCACCGGTTTCCTGCTAAACGTGTTGCAGTCCTATCTGCTATGGGAACCTTTAAAATCGTCAACACGTTGCCTTGGTTTCCGATATGAAAAACCACCTAGATATTTGTGTGAGATTGCGGGACATATTTTGCTTTGCGGGGAAATTGGTCGATATCAACTGTCTACTGATACGGGTGTAACAGATGATAAGCAGTTCGTTCACCTGATTTTATTATGGCTTTTTATAGACCTAATGAAACCTTAATAGTCAAATCAAAATTTACCTGTCTATATTTCTAGTTAAATATAACTAACCCGGTGCTCAGTTGGTAGATAAAGTGACCTCAGAGTGTAGTTCTTTGTACTTTGGTCTTTGATAGAAATTTACCAACCTTCCGCAGACATCCTGTATATAAGAATAATAAAATACACTTTAAAGTACTCGGCGGTATAGAAACTGAAATTTCAATTCTTTTATAATCATTGTGGAATAATTTACAAAAACTCAGCAAAGCGTAACAACGATTTGACAGTTACCGCTAACCTTACTTTCGTCCAATTTGGATTGAAGAACTATTTGTTCTGATCCACAATCGAGCGTACGGAAGTTCGGGGTTTATGGACTTTACTCGATTTATTTATGCATTAGAAGAGATGGAAATCAAATACCTGGAGGCTAGTTAACTGACAACTGGTAACTTTATTGCTCAGAGTACGACAGGCAAAATATTTAACTTGCGAAACAGCCGGTAACGAAAAGCCACTGAGGTCTAACCAGAAGTTGGGCGTCACAGAAATCCTGTTTATTTTCTGAGAATTCATGTTTACAGCCTATTCAGAAATTCGGGAAAATATGAGTACTTCAAGTAATTATAATATGAAACTATATGTCAATATTTTCATCATCTACACAGTCCTTCATCTATCTGCACAAGTTGCATTTCTGTCTGACTGTTTAAACCGTTGATTCCCAAAGTGGTCTATATCGACCCCTAGGGGTCTATGACAACCTGCAAGGGGTCTACGTCAGCGAAAAAAAATTTGGGGGTCCATGAAATGAATATGGGGATCCACGATAGTGGATCCCAACACATACACTGATAGTACCTATTTACTTACATCATACTATCTTATAATATCAAAACATATACATTATTTATAAAAGTACCTATGAAGTAAAAAATGTATTATATATGTTTATAAAATTGTGTAAGTTGTAGGATGTTGGTATTCGCTTTGTGGTCGCAATACATTTTGAACTTGTAAAAACCTGAGAGTCGCAGTCTCAGAGCTTAGCTACCTTGCACTGACTTGTTCAATTCGTCACTCTATAAATACGAATGTGGGACAAATACGTTTATTCGTTTCCTGAATCTCGAAAAGGAAAGTGCTAAGGAGATATTTATAAAAAATATAAACAGATAGTACATATATATCACACAAATTATAGTGAGTCAGTGTTATTTTGTTTGAGATTGCTGGAGAAAAGTAAGCACATTATTTTTTATTAAGTTTTAGTTTTGTACTCGTAGTTAGCAAAGATAGATAAATTACGCCAATCATGACTTTAGTTATAAGTAGTTTAATATTCAATCATGCAAAATTACACGAGTACTCCTCAATAGTTTCTTTTTGAAAATTTTAGCAATCGGTAATATAATTACAGTGCAATCTCCGTAATTCGAGCTAATTATTGCAAGAAGATGTTCGAATTATGGAATGTTTTCGGAAAAATCAAAAAAATATTTTTAATATACAGCTGCTGGATTTTCTGTCTTATTTAAATAATTTAATTTTGCCCACAGATGACTGATGCCATGCCCGAATCTAAAAAGAAATGTAGACAGTACAGTGTTGATTATTTGAAATTTAGCTTCATTCCATCATTGCCGGACAAACAATCAACTATGTGCCTTTTATGCAACAAAGTTTTGGGCTATGAAACCATCTAAACTGCAAGATCATCTGAGAAGATGCCACCCTGATAAAACAGACAAAGATTTGAAATACTTGCAAACACGCAAAGATAAATTTCAGAAGAGACCTACTCTGGACAAAATGTTCGCTTCGACGTCACAAAGAAATGATGATGATTTGCGGGCGTGTTACAATATCTCGTTACTTACAGCAAAATCCGGAAAACCGCATACTATCAGAGAGAAGTTAATTTTGCCAGCCGTTGAAGAGGTTTTAAAAACTGTTTTACACAAACCTGCATCTGATATCATTCAAAGAATTCCTTTAAGCAACAATACTGTTGAAAGACATATTGATGAAATGAGTTCTGATATTGAAAGCTTCTTATGTAATTATTTGCAAACGACCCAACTGGACGAGTCAACTTTACCTGAGAATGCAGCATTATTATTGGCATATGTTCGTTTTATTATGAATCAAGAAATCTACGAAGAACTGCTCTTCGCAAGAACTTTGATAACCGACACTAAAGGTGAATCAATATTTCATGTTTTGAAGGATTACTTCATTGAAAAAGCAATTCCTTTATCAAATATAATATCAGTAGCTACAGATGGAGCACCTGCCATGGTTGGACGTTATCGTGGATTTATAAGCTATTTAAAACAAAATGTGTCAGGGGTGTTAGCAATACATTGCGTCATCCATCGACAACATTTAGTTGCTAAAAATTTTAGTGTTAGATTGCATGAATCAGTTCATTTAGTCATTGATGAAGTAAACCGAATCCGAAGCAACGCGTTGAATACGCGGTTATTTGCGCAGTTGTGTGAAGAAAATGACGAACACTTTCATCAATTACTCCTTCACACTGAAGTACGCTGCCTGTCGAAAGGCTTATGTTTGACAAGATTTTTTGCACTTTTTGAGACTATTTTAGAATTTCTGGATACTAAAGATAAAATTTTAAAAGAAAATTTAATGAAGAGGAAAACAGACATCGCCTATTTAACAGATTTGTTTACAAAATTTAATATGGTTAATTTGCAATTACAAGGCGACAGTTTAAATTTGATCAAAACAAAGTCCATCTTATCAGCGTTTCTTGCCAGAGTTAAACTAATGAAGCAAAATATTGGACGGGGCGAATTTTCTCAGTTCCCCAATTTGTCACAGACAAGCTGCCAGGAAGACGACGTTTCAACTTACGTTCAACATTTAAATGCCCTCTATTCAGATTTTGAATCTAGGTTTGAGGATATTTTGACTATGGTAATACCACCGTGGATAATTAATCCATATGGTGGCATAGAAGAAACGAATGTCATAATACAAGAGGAACTGACTGAACTAAGTACAAACGAAGAACTTAAGGTTCAGTTTAAAAACGGATATCAGCAATTCTGGCTGCAAAACAACATACCCGTTACTTATCCCGTATTATGGAACATAGCGAGGAAATTTTTAATTTCCTTTCCGTCGTCACACCTAGTGGAAAAGGGGTTCAGCGCTGTTATCAATCTCCTAACGAAAAAAAGAAACAGACTGGACATCATTAGCCGAGGAGATTTAAGATTAACCCTAACAAAATTGACGCCAAATGTTCATAATTTATTATTAAAGCATCAGGTTAATCCTTCTCACTAAAAATATTGACTTTTTGTACCCGCATTGATTTTTTTAAAGAACCCTCTTTATAGAAAATATTTTTTTTAAATTATTCTGAAAATTCAAGGATAGGTACACACTAAAATTCGTTAATTTTTTGCCTATTTTTAAATAACTTAAACGTATAAGAAGCGGAATTTAATCAAACTAACAGTGAAATTATTGTAGAACATACGTTTATGTTATAATTAATAAACGAACTCGCTTATTGTACTATTTTAAGTAAAATATTTTTTTTTATTTTTCACTTTTTTTTTTATTTTATCCCTCTTATTTTTTTTTTCAATGCGGGCACTTATTCCCAATGCGGGCACTTATTGGTCAGACACCTGTTTATTTAATGTTACGTACATTTTACATAACAGATACAAAATTTTATTTTGAGTAGTTTTAATTTAAATTCAATTAATAAATGTATAAATTAACATGTGTTTTTACTTTAATTTTTTAACACTAAACTTCACTAGAGTTAGAAATTTACAGGAAATCAATATCAACATGGCAAGGGGTCTACGACACAAAAAAGTTTGGGGAACTCTGGTTTAAACCAAGAAATGAGCAATTCGTAAGAAGAACTAACATTTGATCCAGTGCTCCGTGAAGGAATTATTTTTAAAGTTTTTGTGACGGCATCTGTTTGACATTAGATGACGATTAACATACAGGGTGAGTTTTTAGTGTGATCTTGGTCGATATTCCGTTAATACGGATGATATCTAAAAAAGTTTATCACAAAAATTGTAGCCAAAAAATATGTTTATTTCTACAGGGTGATACATAGCTACGTGGTGACCCCAGCATACACTTTTTTAAATGGTGTCCTACATTTTATTGCAGATTCGGATAGGCCCTGTCAAACGCAGCGCTTCTATGATCTCAAATTTTGTTCCCGCTGTTTCTGTTTTTTCGGTAGACGATGCAGGATGATCAGAAACTCAAAACGAACCCCACTAAAAATTCACCCTGCAAGTCTATTTGAGATTATAAAAGGTTCTTTCAAGATTGACTATCACAAGTACCCAACATTGACTTCCATATCTATCTTTTCCGTAATCTATGAATGTACATGTACATATTTGTCATTCTGAGCCCGTTAGTTTGAAATATCTCTTCTGTCATCACACGTCACACTAACAATAACTTAAGATACAATTTCAAAAAAATCAATAATCGCCGTGGCATATAAACGCGTTTGAAATATGTGTTAATACCGACTGTTTATGTAAAGATTAAATACTGCACAGCGTGGATATCCATTCAGAGCGGACAAGCAAAAAACAGGTGACATTTTGATGTAATGGTCGCGGAGTGATTAACAACCCTGGCTGAGGTTGAGCTGATACAGGAAAAATCGACAACACCGTTTCTGAAGAAGGAATTCGCAAGAGCTGTAGCTTGTTCTATGATTCAATTATGATTCAGTATGCTCTGGCTTAAATGGTTTCATAGGCGGAGGTGATACACGCACACCGCTTTGGCTCAAACAAAATATGTAAACATAGTCTAAAATGGTATGAGTTGTGACTATAGTTTGTCAGTATAGAGTCTCTATTTTCTGAATACACCAGGGTAATTTCCAAGATACAGCGCTGAGCCGTGACTATAGACCCAGATAAAACATAGCCTCGAGTACTGCTCACAAGTTTGGAGCGCTCTCAGCAATCTAACTGAAAAATTGATACAAGATTTGTGGACTACACATGAGATTTACGCTACAGTACTGGTAGAGATCGTAGATTCATAAGACTTTTTAAAAATATTCTCCTCAAATTTTGTAGTTTTTTTTCGTCTTTGGCTACAAACGAACAAAATTTGAGACAATCATTCTGGGAGCAAATAAAATGTCTCGTATCAATCTTAGCATGAAACTGCCGAATGATCCGTGCTCTACAGACTAGATTTAAATAAGACAGGAACACTCGTAGTAATTTCGAAAGCCCAAGAATTCTTTAAAAGTTCGAGAAGTTGTTTTAATTGATATCGTTCCGGCACTGGCTAAAGCAGCAGTATTAATAACCCATATGTAACCAGAGACATGCATTAGCAATTTTTCTTCAATCAACTTGCATCAATAATAATACACCGTGGCGAAACTAGTGACGCAACAGCGAATTCCAAGAATCTTTTTTATTTTAGAAGCAATTTTCTTTCAAATTGAGGAAAGTAACAGTTTGAAACATCTTATTGGCTTTGACCCTAACGACGTGAGAGATCACAAAGAACCATTTTTGATTAATTCATAGCCTCTTCAAACCTCATTTACCCCGTGTCAAAACAGACACGTGCACTCCATCCGCTTGACGCTGCCTACCCCAAGCATTTACGGTTCGCTAAGTTAAGAGCATCATGGTCTAGTTATGTGTGTGTCTAGGCAAAAGCGATTGGGAGCCACCCATTATTTTTTAACCTCCTTCTTTGGACACCCAGGACTTATCTGAGACTAAAAATAACTGATTTTTATACTTCTAAATGTCAGTTCTAGTGTATGTTGTCCTAAGAATCGGATATTGTAATTGTAGCATCGTTTACATACAATATAAAATTTACTAGGTCATTTATATACAGTATAAATCGAATTGGGCCTAATGTAGTTCCTTGGGGAACTCCCAAATCAATAAAGACACATGAAGACTCGACTTGCTTTATTTCTGTACACATATACTAAGTGACATATAAATCCGAACACCCAGTTTAAATGGTTTTATTTTAATAAAATTTTGTATAAGTACTTAATGAAGCATAATAAGTAAATGATAAAAATTTGCTTTAAAGCCCTTTGACCTTTAATAATGTGTGGATGCACCCTGATGTGCTACGCATTCTCCAACGCGCCTAGGTATGCTTCTGATCAGGTGGTCAATGTCCTCCTGTGGTATCTCATTCCAGGCAACCACCAACTCCTCTTGAAGTGCTTCTAGAGTCTGAGGAGGACGTTGCAAATTGAGCAATCTCCTACCCATCATATCCCACACGTGCTCAATTGGGGATAAGTCGGGAGATCTTGGTGGCCATGATAACAATGTGACATCATTATGTTGAAAGAAGTCTATTGTGACTCTTGCAACATGTGGTCGGGCATTATCTTGTTGGAAAGTTGGATCTGCCAGGGTGTCAAGATAGGGTAAAAGATGGGGTTCTAGAACTTCGTGGATATAACGCTGCGCGTTCATGTTACCTCTGGTGAAGATTAAAGGTGACCTGGAACCATAAGCTATAGCACCCCAAACCATAACTCCAACAGTGTGATGAACATGTCTTTCAACAAAAAACTGTGGATTCCTCCTTTCACCACGTCGCCTTCTAACCCTGGCACGACAATCGTGCATGCCTAAACAAAATCGAGACTCGTCACTAAAGACAATACTGTTCCATTCCTGTTCCCAGAGTGACCGTTGTCTGCACCACTCAAGGCGATTACGTCTGTATCCTCGAGTTAAAAGGAGGACCCAGTGTGGCCGGTATGAAGACAAGCCAAACCTTCTCATTCGTCGGTAAACACTTCGCATGCCAATAGGTCTTCCGTGTTCTGCAAACCATTCATTTGCAATGGACCTGGTAGTGGAGAAACGGTCCCTTAAGGCCAATAATCTTAGGCGGCGATCTTCACGGTCTGTTGTTCTACGGCGGCGTCCAGTGCCCCTTGCTCTTTGCGTACGGCCTTCTCGAAGCCACGCCTGACAACACCTAACCACAGTGTGTACACTTCTTTGCACTCTAACTGCAATTGCCCGAAAAGAAAGTCCAGCTTCCCGAAGTCCCACTATACGGCCCCTATCAAACTCACTAAGTTGACGAAATCGTACAGGTCTCCGTACTCTAGGCATCGTAACCGATCGTAAAGGATGTCAAGAACCAAAATCCGCCAACGTTGATTCTTTACTGCCGCTGAAATACTCATTTTTAGAGCGTTAGTGAATTAAAAAAAGCAGTATAAAAACCGGAATGTCCAACTGATAAGGCTGAAAATTTTTTCACTTGTTATTTACAGTAAGATAAATACATTCACCAACTTTTATTAAAATAAAACCACTTAAACTGGGTGTTCGGATTTATATGTCACTTAGTATAATTGTGTGATGAAGAAACATACTGTGACCTGTCTTCTAAAGGTTTTCTTAAAAAATGCTTTGGTATAATAAACTTCGTAAAATTTCAATCTCTTCTATTCCGTTTTTCTCTATTCTCATCATATTGTTGTCGACGTTTGCTATAAGCCCCAACTAAAAAGATGGAAGTTATGAAAAATAAAAATAAAAATCGTTTTTTCATCAGTAACTCAATTATTGGTATACCGAAACTGTCTGTTACATAAATATCTCTAGAGCTGTCTGGCAATTATTTATAGGTATGCACAAAATATGCGGTGCGTCGAGTATAGAGAGCAATCTGACGTCCGCCGTGGTTGCGAAATCAGGAAATATGCGCAGAAAAACGTATAGATCAAGGATACAGTAATTAAACATTTATTTATATTCAGAGATATACTATAAAGCTGGAAAATGAGCTATTAATCACGATTTCGCCGTTTGCGATTAGAATATTTTAAAATTTTGAGTTATTCTACTTACATAATGTGATATTTATCAATGAAAAAAGGATAAATTGTCGTCTCGTTGCAAATAATTCTGCAATAAATATTCGTACGTGTCACACAATTATGAACCACGTGTTACTCACACGCAGTAAAAATGTCACAGAAGAAATATTGGCGACGTAAACGTGTGTCACAGGATAATCTGTTTATTTTTGTTGTCTTTCAAGCTGTTGCCCTTGCTTGTCATGAAGAAACCTGCTCGCGATCTTAGCTAGAAACTATACTAAGTGACATATAAATCCGAACACCCAGTTTAAATGGTTTTATTTTAACAAAATTTTGTATAAGTTCTTAATGAAGCATAATAAGTAAATGATAAAAATTTCAAAATGATTGCACTGCTTTAAAGCCCTTTGACCTTTAATAATGTGTGGATGCACCCTGATGTGCTACGCATTCTCCAACGCGCCTAGGCATGCTTCTGATCAGGTGGTCAATGTCCTCCTGTGGTATCTCATTCCAGGCAACCACCAACTCCTCTCGAAGTGCTTCTAGAGTCTGAGGAGGACGTTGCAAATTGAGCAATCTCCTACCCATCATATCCCACACGTGCTCAATTGGGGATAAGTCGGGAGATCTTGGTGGCCATGGTAACAATGTGAGGTGAGGTGAGGTCACCTGATTCACGAGCCCTTTGTACTACATTCAGCATTTTCGTAAACATGTGCCATTTTTTATTTCGTTTCAGCCACACAGCAAACACCACTATTCACTCACGCGTTACCGACTGACACATCGACTGAATACAACCGAATAAGATTGTACATTGTAGTAAAAATATCGTTTCAAATTCTTTCGCTTTTTTGTTTTCGATGCGATGAACGGATACGGCGGATTATATCCGTTGTTGCCAAACACGAGCACATAATATTATTATCGAGACAGGGCAGTACTTAAACTTCTAAAGGGCTATAACTTTGTTACTTTAATTTTACCAGAAAGATGTTAAAGGAAAAAAACATTTCTTTTGATCAGATCTACTCACTGTTAAAATAAATGACTCAACTTCGAAGTCATCCTGTATAAAACAAGCTGTGAACGTGTCAACTACGTCGGATATCTTGCGGCCATAGGGGGTTTTGATCAATTTGAGGTAGTTATTCGCAGGCAACGCAAAGGACATCTATTGCAACGGGACACTTACGGTGTCTGAACGGTGCTTAATATCAATTTGGTATCCTGGAGCGTCCCGTATGTGTCAGCCGAGAGAGCTGAACGTTCGGGGGTGTTTCTGGATTAAGAGATCAGCTAGAGGGAGTGAAACGGGAGGAAAAAGGGGGTCGGTGTGGTGCCTCTAGAGCGGACGTCGGCGTCGCCTAGGCGCCACGACGCTCTCCCGTGTCCCCGCTGTTCGCTCTCTTCCATGCTTTCTCTCCCGTGAGCTGTAGCTGGCGACACAACCGTCGCACCTCTCGAAGAACACCTTGCTCGGAAACATTAGCGCCGGGCTAGATACATCAAGTTTTCTTCGATGAAGATGCAATCTATGGCATATCATAGATACCTACGTTTGTATTGTTTATATTCTATAAATGGTCTTTTCAGTTTCTTCAGCTTTCTGGTATTGTAGGTGTCGTGTATGTAGTTTCGGAAATGTACGTGTACTTGAAGAAGGGAGTCCCCAAATATATCCTTGTAATTGAAACACGTAAAAATAAATAATAAATGAATAAAGGCAAAAGTATTCACATTGTAAGAATGAACGTAAAACCAAAACGGAAACCCATTTGTCCAATGTCGACAATTCCAGAAATCACTTATGCAGCCAAAAATACATCGGAACAGTGATGGCTGTATAGCATTTAAGTTGATCAAATAAGTATATTACCGTAGGTCTGATATCTGTTAGTATTTATTTAGAGTTGATTTGTATAGCAAATCCGTATTGTATAATATCAGATATTTTGAGTGAGACCTGGAGGTATTAAATAGTCCAATTTAACAGACTTGTCTCAATACATAGGATGTCTTATTTGTTTGGAGAAACACGATGGCATCCTCTCCTGAAAATCGTTTTTCCAAATTTCAATCTCAGTGTCAATGTTTGGATCAGTACAGATATTTTCTATTTCCTTCATAGTACCAACATACAAACCTCAGTTACTTGTTAATCTGCAAGATAATTTTCATGAGTGAGGATTTGACTATACAGGGTGACTTTGAAGTTGAGTCATTAATTTTCAGATAATGATTGTAGAAGGAAGATAAACCAAAATATATGTGTAAAAATAAAAAAAAATTAAAACAAAAATTACCTTGTTTTATAAAGTATCCTCCCGACAAGTATTTCAGTGCGGACCTGTATTTGATCGTGAGGTCTTGGAGCACCGGCATGCCGTCCCCTGTGAGGTCTTAAGTCACCTGATTCACGAGCCCGTTGTACTACATTAACAAAGGCACGAGGGGTTGGTTGCACTCGATTGGGAAACCGATCCGCATAAACATGTGCCATTTTTTATTTCGTTTGAGCCACGCAACAGACACCACTATTCACTCACGCGTTACCGACTGACACTGACTGTATACAACGGAATAAAATAATTGTAGAAACTGTATTTCGACGTTTTCAGTATATCGCTTTCCCCTTTTTTACCCCCTTGGATCCGCCTTTGGCGTGGAAGAGCAAGACGCGCCAACGCTTGTCAAGCGCCCACCAGTGAGCATTCCGTGTCACTTCTACCACATTTGCTATATTGCCCTTGCTACCTGTGCAATTTTTGCCACCGCTCGGTCTCTGTTGGAGCCTCGAAGACTCCTACACTCCCCTCCCCCCTCCCACTATTTGATATTACAGATGAATATCAATTGTTTGCTGGTGTCGTACATCTACCTTCGACGGCGCCCTGGTGGTGTTACACATAGTCCGGGAAAATGTTAAAGGAAGACATCAAATCATGATCTGAAAATTCGGCAAACATATCAACAGTCGCGATTTTCTCATTTTTATGCTAAAATAGGTTTTTAGGCAAAAGTCAAGCCACGTTTTTTCTGAGCAGCTGTCGATAATGACAAGATGTGTTCATATAAGATCAAGTCCTCGATAATATGAACTCCGACCAGCTGAAATGAGGATGAAGGTGGGATAGCAGGCTTTTGTGTTACAGAATCTCAACAGTGTGAAGCATTCACCATTTTTTAATCCAGATATGCCTAGCCACAGCCGACGTCAACTACGAGCCGTGAACAAAGAAATCTGGCAACGTAGGTGGTAGTGTTACTCCCGCCGCTGCTTGCTGCATCGACGCAACTCGTGCTCAAAACGCTGAGAAAACATAACCTTTTCAATTTGTGATTTTGGAATCCCAGAGGCTGTAATTAAGAAATAAGCTTGTTTTCTAAGCCTCAAAGTGTGCTTCATATAGAATGAATTTGCAGAAAACATACTTTATTATAATTTATTTGAGTTGTAGGCATATCTGAGTGGTTAACTTATAGGAAGAAGCAAGACAGTTCGCAATTCTTACTTACTTTTACACAATTGGCTAAAACATTGAAATAGAAACACTCCTGGTATAGACGCAAGGAGAGTCTAAAAAAGGACCGTTAGTACCACTCCTTATCGAAGATCTTTTAAACAAAATAGCAAATTAACAATGTTTGACCATTTCTTTTCTACAGATACGTCTTCCGGATTTTCCAGACCTGGCATTTTACACAAACTGACCGACAGACCCAAAAGCGAAGATCGCATGAATTCACGCTAAAATATACTTTCATGCTTATATCTTCGAGGACACCGTCTTTTCCCGGACTAAAACGTACATACTAGACGATGCTTCATTTTTCGGTGACAGATAAGCGAGCGAAGTTCCGATTCACCTTATATGATATATGCGCAGAAATTTCGCAATGTGCTGTTTCTAGAACTGGAAACTGTAACTACTGTTCGGTTTTATACCCGCTCTGTGATATATATCTCGTATGCTCGAATGTTTAAAATTCAACCAGTAGTTCATAATGTGTTGTTGAGAATAGTGCGCCAACAAATAATAGCTCCGGACTCACTGAGATGCCATCGATCCAAACTGCTTTGGGTTAGAATTATTATAATATCGGACTACCCGTGAAATGGGCAAATGCGCAGATATTACGCTATTTTTGAAACCGGTTTCTTCACAAAAACTAAAAGATAACACTTTAACAAAGGTAAACAAACACAAAGCTGAAACGTTGACATTGTTGTCATAGAATGCTTCGAAGTTGAGTCATTTATTTTAACAGTGAGTAGATCTGATCAAAAGAAATGTTTTTTTCCTTTACCATTTTTCTGGTAAAATTAAAGTAACAAGGTTATAGCCCTTTGGAAGTTTGAGTACCGCCCTGTCTCAATGATAATATTATGTGCTCGTGTTTGGCAACAACGGATATAATCCGCCATACGGTTCATCGCATCGGAAACAAAAAAGCGAAAGAATTTGGAACGATGTTTTTACAATTATTTTATTCAGTTGTGTTGTAATCAGTCAGTGTCAGTCGGTAACGCGTCAGTGAATGGTGGTATCTGTTGCGTGGCTCAAACGAAATAAAAAATGGCACATGTTTATGCGGATCGGTTTCCCAATCGAGTGCAACCAACCCCTCGTGCCTTTGTTAATGTAGTACAACGGGCTCGTGAATCAGGTGACTTAAGACGCATCCAGGGCAGACCTCACGATCAAATACAGGTCCGCACTGAAATACTTGTCGGGAGGATTCTTTATAAAACAAGGTAAATTTACTTGCCTAACGGGTCAGTTCATTCTTCATTTTTAAATTGCCAAATGTATTGATCTCCACTAATAATGATGTATTAGTTTTATTTAAGCTTTAAATCAAGAAATCTTCAAAACTACTGAACTGAAGTACATTAATTTTGTATCATTATAAAGGGAATTGAAAGACCTTTAAGATAAGGTATCACTCGACCCCCCGTTCTATTTAAGATTTTGGGGGTGGTGTCAAACTTGTGTCCCCTTAGAAAACAAAATCGACGGGTCTGAGCGTTTTTCAAAAAAAAACTGAGCTGCCAGTAAATGCGTCTGTTTCGTTTTCGATGCGCCACCCTGTATAGTCATTATATTGCCGGAAAAATAATTGGAAGAAATTATTTTTTCCTGTGTGTAACACTTCTAATGTCACTGAATATACTTCGTTGGTAGGCTGCGTCAGTATTTTCTATGTAAAATCTATTTCCAAACAATGTAGCATCTCATTCAAGACGCTCGACTCAATTTTTAAGAAGAGCCACAATCCAATCGCTCTCAAGAGGATGCCACTCTTCGGATAATCCAATTTTGGAGGGTCGTAAGTCGAATGTCGTTCAGCAATTTCGCTTATTAACGCTAGCAACTCAATCATTTTTAGCCTGATTGCATACAGAAGGGGGGAGAAACCATCAGATTCTCCCTGAGGGACAATCTAAGCTTTCAAGAACTCTTGAAGTTCAGGACGTGGCTGTAACTTTGTTAACACATTTTTTATGGCGGAATGACATTCTCAGATGATATTGAATAGCAAAAATTGCGATTCGTTTTATTTCCTACGGCATTGGACGAGGAAGTATTGTGATCGCGAAAAATTTCGAAAACGAAATATTATGTTTGAATATTACTCAAGGCTACTACTAAGCCAAGGAGGAAAGTTTTTGAAAATCGATCCAGCGCGGCGGAGAAAAAAGTAAAAAACGAAAGAAAGAAAAATCGCTCAAATTTCGTTTTTTGGCATTTAAAAAGGTCCGGTCATTTTTGGAAAAAGTTTTAAGGGTAAAAAATTGTTTGAGTGTCAATACCTATAATCACAGCCGACGTCAACTACGAGCCGTGAACAAAGAAATCTAGCAACGTAGGTGGTAGTGTTACTCCCGCCGCTGCTTGCTGCATCGACGCAACTCGTGCTCAAAACGCTGAGAAAACATAACCTTTTCAATTTGTGATTTTGGAATAAAGAGATAAGCTTGTTTTCTAAGCTTCAAAGTGTGTGTATGTGTTCAAAATGATCGGTGACTATAATATATGAGAAATAGACTCCAGTTGTAGTGCTTCTGTGCTTTAAAAATAAACTGAGAAGTGTGACTGTGGCTGTTCGCGCCTCAGGACGCTAAGGATTTCAACTATTGAAAATGTGCAAATTCAGGTTGTATTTTTCTTTTTTCATTTATCAAGTATTTGACGCAGACAATATGCCTCGTTGTTGCTGTGTTCCTTTATGCAATGCAAACTATAATTCTGCTTTGAAAACAGAAAGCAATGTTTCAACTTTTCGCTTGCCAAGTACCGAAAGTCTAAAAAACAAATGGCTTATGGCAATTCCCAGAAGAAATTGGACACCTTCAAAATATTCAGCTGTGTGCAGCCGTCATTTTAGAGAATCGGATATCATCAGGACAGAAGATATAGTTTTGGCGGATGGAACAGTCCAAAATAATATACCTTTGAAATATCCAAAATTGAAAGAAAATGCTGTTCCCTCCATTTTCCCAAACTTGCCACCATATCTTTCAAAAACTGAAGCACCCAAAAGAACTGACCCAATGCAAAGAAAACAAAAATTAATTGAGAAACATGAAAAAGCTATCCAGAATTTTGATGATATGGATAAGATCAAAGATAAATTTAGTTCAAAAATGTGGATTTGAAGTTATTTGTGTTGTTATTGATAATCACCGAATTAATAGAGCAATGTTC